TACATTTTTTATATCCTGTATATACAGTGGGTATAGAAAAGAATCAACCCCCTTTTAAAATAATCACATTTGGTCGCTTTGAAGCCTGAAATGAAGACATACCTTTTTTTGTTTTATCCAGCTGTATTTACTTATTTCAACTTATAACATCCTAGTGAAAGCTATAACACCAACGTGTCAGGAAAAAAAAATTCAAAAACAGAATCCCTGAGTTGGGAAAACCCCTCCTAAAAATTACTTGTAAACTTAATCTGGTGTAGCTAATTACCTTCTCAATGGTAAACACAGCCATATGACTTTCTACTGTGATCAAATGTGATCCTTTTAATTAGGTTAGCATGAAGAAACATGTATACAATATATGAAGAAAGGAACGAGCGCTGGATATGACAGGATTCAAGCTGCTAGCATAAAGGTAAACCTCGTATACCCCCTTCATCAAAAGTCAAATACAAAAAGTTGCAGCGCTTGAGTGTATAATACAGGGAATTAACATGAATGGCAGACTTAAACATTCATATTTTGACATGCACCAGATCCCACACTCTTAAATTGATGTAAACAGTAATCAGATAAGTAATGAAGATCTATCCGACTAATCAAGGTGCCTATAGTGATGGAGATGTTAAAGTCATAAGTTCTGTGATGTATCCAAACAAATCCGTGACTTCCGTGATAGGGGAATAACTGTATAATGCACTAACCAGATAGCGCAAGTAAATGCGCATTGGAGTATAATGACCTACTCCTGGTCACAGCCAGATGGTCCTCAGCGTGTTCCTGAGGGCTTCACGCTGAGGACCATCTGGCTGTGACCAGGAGTAGGTCATTATACTCCAATGCGCATTTCCTTGCGCTATCTGGTTAGTGCATTATACAGTTATTCCCCTATCACGGAAGTCACGGATTTGTTTGGATACATCACAGAACTTATGACTTTAACATCTCCATCACTATAGGCACCTTGATTAGTCGGATAGATCTTCATTACTTATCTGATTACTGTTTACATCAATTTAAGAGTGTGGGATCTGGTGCATGTCAAAATATGAATGTTTAAGTCTGCTATTCATGTTAATTCCCTGTATTCATGTTAATTCCCTGTATTATACACTCAAGCGCTGCAACTTTTTGTATTTGACTAGCATGCAGAAAGCTTTCCTGGAGCATTTCAGTCCCTGATAGTGCAACTGTGGGTGGCAAGGCTCTGACAAAAGTCTCAGTGAAGTCTATTAACCACTTCCCATCTGGCCGCTGTATATAAACAGCCGGACGGTGGCAGTGCAGGGGCGGGTTGCCGTTCATAAACAACGCCCACTATTTTGGATTGTGTGCGCTCCCTGGGAGCACACGGCACCACGATCCAGTGCCCTCTGTGTCACCGATCGCTGTACGGGACCTCCTGTGTGAGGTCCCGATCATGTGATCACTGATTGGCCAATCAGTGATCACATGAATAGGATGTCACTTCTGACATTGCTTACTACGTGCGAAATCTGTGAATGATCACAGAGATCACATGCTAGAAGGCTATTCACAACAGCCTTGTACCATGTGACAAGCTGTGACAAATCACAGCTCACACAGTATTTCTCAATGGCTGCAAGAATGCAGCCAGAAAGAAGGAGAAATTATTGCTTTTACAGCCTTTTATGGGTGGTAAAAGCAATCCGTGTAAAACAAAAAAAAAATCTTCATCACCCCCCACAAGTAGTACACTATGGACAGTATGTTTAAAAAAAAAAACATAATATAATATAAAAAAAAAAAACTTTTTTAAATTATAATTTTGGTTATAAACTAATTTGAGTTATTTTTTATTTTTTTTATTTTTTACTAAAGAGATAACTGAATACATTTTGGCCAAGATTTATGAAGAAAGATTTATTTGCAAAATTTTATAAAACTTTTTTTTCCAAAATGTTTGGACTTTTTCATTTATATAGCAATAAAAATAAAAAATACCACCAAAATAAAGTTTTATCTGTCTCAACAAAATGCTAAAAAATTCATGTGGGTACAGTGTTGCATGACCACCGCGCAATTGTCATTCAAAGTGTGACAGCACTGAAAGCTGAAAATTGGCCTGGACAGGAAGGGGGTAAAAGTGTCTGGACATGAAGTGGTGTTAATAAGAAGTGGAAGGTATTTATTACAACACGGGCCCTCCCTGGATCAGGATGTCGCTCCAAACTGAATGAAAGAGCCAGGAGGAAACTGGTCAGAGAGTCTACCAAGAGGCCTACACGAAGAGTGGTCATTGTGTGCATGTGACAACAATATCACAAATTCCCCACATATGTGTATTGTATTGGAGGGTTGCAAAAAAAAAAAAGCCACTCCTCAAGAAAGGCTACATGCAGTCATGACTGAGCCAAAACGCACCTGTAAGATTTTGAGGCCACATGGAAAAAGGTGCTGTGGAAAGATGAGACTAAAATTGAGTTATTTGGCCTCATCACTAAGCAATATGATGGAAATCCAATTCAGCTCACCATCCAAATAACCCCATTCCTACAGTAAAGCATGGAGGTGCTTATATCATGTTTTGGGGGTGTTTCTCTGCAGTGGGGACTGCAGCACTTATCAGGATAGATTGGATAGAAGGAAAAATGGATGGAGCAAAATATCATCAAATTCTTGAGGAAAATCTGCTGCCTTCTGCCAGAAAGTTGTCAATGGGAATAAGGTTTTCCTTCGAACATAATGACCCAAAGCACACAACAAAAATGAGCACACAGTGGTTGAAGGAGAAAAAGGTGAATGTCCTTGCATGGCCTAGTCAGAGCCCAGACTTGAAAATTTGTGGAATGACTTGAAGACTGCAGTCCACAAATGGTCACCAACACATTTAACTGAACTTGAGCATTTCTGCAAAGAAGAGTGGGCAAATATTGCAAAGTCTAGATGTGCAAAGTTAGTAGAGACATATCCTAACAGACTAAAGGTTGTAATTAAACCCAAAAGGTGGTTCAACAAAATACTGCCACTAGGGGTTTTTTTCTAACTCTGTGATTTTTTTTTTTGTTGTTGTTTTTTTTTGGGGAAAAAAAAATTCTGACATGTTGGTATTATCTTTCACTTAGATGTTATAAGTACAGCTGGATAAAACAAAAACTGTCTTTTTTCATTTTAGGTTGCAAAGCAAAAAGTGGGGTGATTCATTTCTATACCCACTGTATATCTATTTCTCCAATAGGTGTAGCTCTGATTTTTTTTTTTTTCTCTTTTTAGTACAGTTATCAGTTTTTTACATTGTTGAAAAACACTTGTGTACAGAGCTAAATTGCTCAAGCTGAAATTTACATGCAAGACAAATGACCTGTGGCAATAACCTATTTCACCCCCCTCTGGCCACCTTTTAAAATAACTCCTCACAAAGTTTTAATGTGAATACATCAGTCTGATGTGCTCTGTCTAGAAATGACATAATACTCTTTAAATCCCCCCTGTATTAAGTATTTATTTGTAAAACAAATATTTTTGTTTCTAAATCATCAACCTAATTTGTATTTCTAATTTTGCAATAAAATTTGAGAAAACCCTGCTATCTGCATGTTTCCATTCACCATTTGGCTACAAAAGTGGGAATACACTTAAATATGTATCGGGGTGGACAAAATATAGCAATTGGCCTCAAACCATAATAGTTTCACTTTAAATGTTGGATGGCTGAATAGTGTACAGGCAGTCCTCAGTAATCAATCAGTCCTCACTAATTCATCAGGTCATCTCATCATGTGTGCATATGCAGATACAGTAATAATTCTGAAATCTGACATTTGTTTTTTTCAGGTCTTAGAAGATTGTATGATATTCTCTTTGGCAGGATGTGTGATAACTGCAAATTGTAAGTATTGAATTTTTGTGCAATTTTTTGTTTTTAGATCACTGTGCAGTTCTTAAAAAATGATTACTAATTTTAACCTAAGTGCTACAGCAGGGCAGTGGGGTAGAAACATGTATCACAGTAATTTTAAGATTAATAGAGGTTACGAATATGGGTACACAAACCTAGTCCTAGATGCAAAGACATAGTAAAAGAAATATCTGTTTGTGCTTATTATGGTTTTCATTACATCAAGCACATAACAATTTGATTTTCAACTCAGCTCATGTTATCATCTGCCACACGGGATCATTTGTTTTTCTGTGAATAGAAGGGAAAAGTCCAATTAGGCTTTCCGACAATTCAGAGGTACTTCATCCCTTAGTGGACGGGTGCAACCATTTTGTCTGACATAGCCAGCTTCAAAGCTGACAGCTTCTGTTCTGCTGTCGGTTTATGGGAGTATGCTTTTTTTCATTGACATTTCAGAGAAACTTTTAACATGTACTGTGATACTTACCCTGCCATTGACTTTGTTTTCTAGTGTGCACATGGGCCATTTATTTCTTAACAACCGCAGAAGGTGTTCAGGAAAAGTTGTACAAGGAAGTAACCCGAGTCCTTGGGAAAGGGCCTATCACAATGGAGAAATTAGACCAGCTCAGGTTGGCTTTGTTTTCACCATGAATTTCATTTTCCATGATCACATTTATTACTCTGTTAGCAAAATCTTTGGGTTGAAAAGGCCAACTGGGGTCACTGAACTTTTTGTGGTCTGTAAAACAAAGGTTTGCAAACTTTGGTTGTTTGAAAAAAATTTAATTGCCTTCTAGCTACCATTTCTCTTCCCATTTTCACACGAGACGTGCAAGAGGAACTCGATGCAGATATTACCACAACGGAAATGCTCGAGGCCATAAAATCTCTTAAATTATCTAAAGCCTCTGGCCCCAATGGTTTCACAGCCCTTTATTATAAAACTTTTGCAGATGTCCTAGTCCTCCATCTCACAAATCTCTGTATCTATTTAACCACCTCCCGCCCGCCATATAGTAATATGACTGGCGCAAGGTGGTTCTCTTGCTCTGGGAGGACGTCATATGACGTCCTCCCATTCTCACTGCGCATGCGCGGCTCAGAGCACGCAGCACGGCGATCGAGAGTGCGCTGTGTCCCTCGGACACAGCGGATCACCGACCACGGAAAGAGCCGAAGATGTCGGCTCGGTCCTGTGATCAGCTGTGTCCAATCACAGCTGATCACATGTAAACAGGGAAATGCCGGTAATTGGCTTTCCGCGGAGGTGACATGTACACTGATCATCAGTGTGCCCTGATAATCAGTGTGGCCCCAGCAGTGCCACCTGTCCATCAGTGCCTCGTGCCAGTGCCCATCAGTGACACATCAATGCCACATATCAGTGCACACCAGTGCACATCAATGCCACATATCAGTGCCCATCTGAGCTGCCTATCAGTGCCGCCAGTCAGTGCCTATTAGTGCCAGTCAGTGCCACCTATCAGTGCTATGTATCGGTGCCGCCTGTCAGTGCCCATCAGTGCCGCCTGTCAGTGTCCATCAGTGCAGCCTTTCAGTGCCCATCAGTGCAGCTTCATTAGTGCACGTCAGTGAAGGAGAAAAATCACTTATTTACAAAATTTTATAACAAAAACTAAGAAAAAAACATTTTTTCAAAATTTTCAGTGGTTTTTGGTTTGTTTAAGAAAAAATAAAAAACCCCAGAGGTGATTAAATACCACCAAAAGAAAGCTCTATCTGTCACAAAATAATGATAAAAAGTTCATATGGGTGTACAGTGTTTGACCGCGCAATTGTCATTCAAAGTGCGGCAGCGCTGAAAGCTGGAAATTGGCCTGGGCAGGAAGGGGGTAGAAGTGCCCTGTAGGCTAGTGGTTAAAGACCCACCCCCCGCTCTTGACCCCACCTCTCTGTGCCCTTATTGCAATGCTACCCAAACCATGGAAAGACCATCTTTATCCTCATAATTTCCGCCCTATCTCCTACTCAATATTTATGTCAAGCTCTTGGCTAAAATCCTGGCCATTAGGATAAATTCCTTTCTTGCATCCCTCATTCACAAAGATCAAGTGGGGTTCATCACAAACCGACAGGCCCCTGATGACAGTTGGAAGGTGGTTCATCTTATTCATTTGCTACATCACAACAAGCTCCAGGGCACGCTCCTATCCCTTGATATTCACAAAGCTTTTGATGATGTTTCTTGGGACTACTTCCACTATATATTGCAGAAATGGGGATTGGGATGACACTTATGTCCTGGCTTCGATCCATGTATGGAAACCCATCTGCTCTAGTGAAATATTTAAACCACCATTCCAGACCCTTCCCTATAAAGAGAGGTACCTCTCCTCCTCTATTGTTCATGCTTGTCATATAACTGCCTCATCAGAACTAATGCTAACATTCATGGAGTTCCTGTCAGTGGCTGTGATCACAAAACCAGTTTTTATTACCAACAATCTATTACTTATCCTGACCAAGTCGGTAATATCTCTACCCTACCTCCTATCTACCCTACTGTCATTCGCCCACATTTCAAACCTACACATTAACAAAAACAAATTGGTGGCCTTAAACATCTCCCTACCCAACTCTACTCTCACTGCGTTGGTCTTCTTTCCACTTCTCCTGAGCATCTAACCATTTGGATTACTTGGGAATTCATCTAACCTTCTGATACTCGGACTTGTATGTGGCCAACTATATCCCTACCATCCGCATTATAAAGGCTCTATTGTCTGCTTTGTCTCCTGGATGGGCATAATCAACTCATTTAAAATGACAATTCTTTCTAAACTTCTCTATCTTTTACGCCTGGCCTGTCCCAGTCCCATCATTCTCCCTAATCAGAATCAGGTGATGTCCTTTATCTGGCACTCTCACAGGCCATGTATACCAAGGTCCGCTATGTACATTCATAGATACCTGGGCGGCCTGGAGGTTCCCAACTTCCTTAAGTATTACCAAGCAGCTCAGACTGCCCTGTTGACTGCCCTGTACACTGCAAAAGCAGCTCCCATATGGGTGAACCTGGAATCCGCTTTCTGTGGCTGAATTAACCCACAGTCCTTACCCTAGATCCCTTCCCAACTGCAGCCACCAACCCTTAGTCCACCGATGTTGCGCACCTTAAACATATGGGATGGCCTCATATACTCCAGTAATTTGCTTTCCACTCATTTTCCCATTTCTCCCTTTGGTGGGCAATCCACTCTTCTCAATAGGCCTAGAATCCCCAGCAGCCCCTTTGCTCATAGAATGGGAAAAAGTTATTTCATGGCTAACCTTCAGAGAAGGCTTCCAAACACCTTCTACTGAATTATTCCAGTACACTCAACTTCGCCAATTTGTTTATTCTGTCATACTTGAGAAATGTCTCTTCCCCCTTCTCTCCTGACTGTTTTTGAACACATTTGCTGCCTCACGCCCATAACATAACACCTTAACTGATTTCTATACTTTACTTGCATCTTAACTATCTTTCTTCTCCTGTTAGGCACTCTTACGTGGTGAGGTGGGAGGCAGATTAAAAGGCTCACAAAACTGAGATGTGGTCCCAGACTTGGTCCACCACTGCGGCTTGCACTATTAATGTCACAACGCTTAAGTCCGCCTATAAGGTCCTGACTAGGTAGTATATGGTACCTACCAGTCTGGAACACTTGGGTCGCCTATTACCACCCTCAACAACTTTTGTGATACTTGACCTTTTTCGCCCCCTTGTCCCACTACCCAGTGTCGCGAGAGGTCCCCTCCGCCAGGCCCCCCACCTCACCTTTTCCTCCTCTCTCCTCTAGTACGGACCTTACACTTTCTTTTCCTGTTTTTTCTCTCCCTCTTTTTCGGCATTCTCTTCTCAAAGAACCCCCCCCTCCCTTTTCCTTTTTTCCTTTTTGGTTGACCACCCCGGTCTACTTGCCCCACACATGTGACTTTTGACATTGAGACTTCTTGTTCTGATTCAGTATTCTCCACATTGGTCTGGGGTACGCTCCAGAAACCATGTCACATCTTTACCCTTCGTTCTATTGTGCTTATTGGGTGCCAGTTTGATATAATGTCGATGCTTGTATTTGGCCTGTTCTTTTTTTTTTTTTTTTTTTTTTTCTACAATGTGGATTGTTTGTGTACCACTTGTTAAATTCGATAAATATATTGAAATAGAAGAAATGTAATTGACTTTTTTGCTGCTATAGGAGGAAATGTTTATGCTCCTTAGGTTTCCCATGGAGATATTGAGGATGTGAATTACATCATCCTCAACCTGTGGGCCCATTCCAAGAATACATTTCATGTGTTAGGGAGTTAGTTTACATTCTAAAATAATCCATGGTTGGTAATGTTATCTTTTTTATACCTTAAATTATATTCCAGCTTCTCAGGCTTTGTAGCTTCGTTTTTCTTCTTTTGTCACAGCTATTGTCGGCAGATATTGTGTGAAACAGTGAGGACAGCAAGGCTAACCCCAATCTCCGCACGTCTACAAGAGCTAGAAGGAAGAGTAGACCAGCATGTTGTTCCTAAAGAGGTATGTAATAGCCCGTGAATTCTCTGCCAAACATATCCTTTTCCATTCTTTGTAATCTAGAACATTCAGCACAATATAGAAAAAACATTGTTGATTACAAATAAGAAAAAAAAACTACAGAAAGAATACCAGTATACCTTAATCCATTGGCGCCTCCCAGCCCTTTACAAGGTTTTTTGACGCCGGGATGCAGGACGAGGGTTAGGGTCATTGATTGGCTGTCACAGCGGTCAAATCATCAGATGGCTTCCGATTTGCTACTTGCATGAGGTGCTGGTAATTGTGCTGGGAGCGGGCAGGGCGCATGCTCTTGGCACATGTTTCACATTGGGTACGCAAATATGCGGCCTCTCAGCATCAAGGCCCAGCCACCAATAGGCCGCATATTTGTATACCGTCAGCGCCAAGGAGTTACAGTGCAATTAGAAAATCAACAAATTGGAATCTGCAACTAAACAAGAAGGTATCATGTCAGCCAAATGTGCACAAAATATATACTGTACACTAGTAACCAGTTGGTGAATACAAATAAAATGGGAAGGTGAAGAAGCATTTAAAATAGACAGTGCAAAGTGGGGTAGAGTGAAACAGAGCATATTAATATTTACTAGGAGGAACATGCAGGAAAACGCAGACTGTAACAAGTGGCTTAGTGGTTAGTACATCTGCTTTGTAGCATTAGAGTCCTTGGTTCTAATCCCAACCAGGATACTATCTGCATAGAGTTTACATGTTCTCCCTTTGCTTTTGTGGGTTTCCTCCAGGTGCTCTGTTTTTTTTCCTACACTCCAAAGACATGCAGGTAGGTTAATTGGTTCAATTGAGTACATTCAAGATGGCTTCCTCATTTCCTATGCACAATCATCAGGAAGAAAAGCACCATAGAAAATGAAAAGCTCTCCATAGAAACCAATCCGCTTCCAGGTTCAAAGCTGAATTGAACAAGCTGAAGTTAGAAGTTAATTGGTTGCTACGCACAGCACTTTCATTTCTTCAGTACAGACAAAGTTATCACATTAACAGGCCCATGGCAGAAGTGTAAAAATGACTCTGGTCCACAAGGATGCCCATAAGGTCACCACACAAATGTTCATGCAATAGTGCCAAATGTAGAAAAATAATAATAAGACAGCCAGTGATGGGAGGGCAAAATCAAATACAAATGAGAGTAACAAAGTGTTTGTTGTTAGCAACAGATTGTCAACCAAGTTAGCAAAACTAAGCAGTCTGAGCAGTATTTTTATATACTGTACACATATCTCTCTAATCTTGTACTTATGCAGAGTATAAAGATGCCATAAAGTCTGTTTAACCACTTAAACAATGGACGCTTTCACCCTTTCCTGCCCAGGGCATTTTTCACTTTTCAGCACTGTCACACTTTGACAATTAGTCATGCAGCACTGTACCCAAATTATATTTTTTATCATTTTTTGAGACCGAGCTTTTTTTTTTTTTTCTTTTGCTATATAATTAAAAAAAAAAAGCCTGACTTTTTGAGGAAAAGTTTTATTTGGTTACTGTTATAAAACGTTGCAAATAAATAATCTAGCCTCATAAATTTTAGCCAAAATGTATTCTGCTACATTTCTTTGATGGAAGAAAACTCAGTGTATATTTAGACTGTGTGAAGGTATAAAGTCTATAAACTAGTGTATGTATGTGTATGTGTGTGTGTATGTATGTATATATATATATTAACCACTTGCCTACAGGGCACTTATACCCCCTTCCTGCCCAGGCCAATTTCCAGCTTTCAGCGCTGTCACACTTTGACAATTGCGTGGTCATGCAACACTGTACCCATATGACATTTTTATCATTTTTTTTAGACAGAGCTTTCTTTTGGTGGTATTTAATTACCTCTGGGATTTTTATTTTTTCTTAAACAAACCAAAAACCAGTGAAAATTTTGAAAAAAAAAAAGTTTTTTCTTAGTTTTTGTTATACAATTTTGTAAATAAGTGATTTTTGGCCTTCACTGATGTGCGCTAATGAGGCTGCAGTGATGGGCACTGATATGCTGCACTGATGGACACTGATAGGTGGCACTGATGGGGAGGCACTGGTAGGTTGCACTGATGGGCATTGACAGGCATCACTGATGGGCACTGAAAGGCAGCACTGATACATGACACTGTTAGGCGGCGCTGACTGGCACTGTTAGGCGGCGCTGACTGGCACTGTTAGGCGGCACTGACTGGCACTGTTAGCTGGCACTAATAGGCATTGATAGGTGGCACTGACTGGCACTGATGGGTGACATTGAAAGGCAGCTCAGATGGGCACTGATGTGGCATTGATGTGCACTGGTATGCACTATGTGGCACTGGCACGTGGCACTGATGGGCACTGACTGCTGGCACTGACAGGTGGCACTTCTAGGGCTACACTGATCATCAGTGTACATGTCCCCTCCGCGGAAAGCCGATTACCGGCTCTCCTCTCCTCTCGAGCTGTCAGCGTGACAGCTCAAGAGGAGAGAAATGCCGTTAACCGGCATTTCCGTGTTTACATGTGATCAGCTGTGATTGGACACAGCTGTTCACATGACCGAGCCGACATCTTCGGCTCTTTCCGTGATCCGCTGTGTCCGAGGGACACAGCGATCGCCGCGCTGCGCGCTCCCTGAGCCGCGCATGTGCGATGAGAATGGAAGGACGTCCTATGATGTCCTATCAGACGAGAGAACCACCTTGCGCCCGTCATTGTACTATATGGCGGGCAGAAGTGTGTGTGTGTGTGTGTGTGTGTGTGTGTGATACACACACTTACTTGATCAGTCCTGATTGTCTCATCTCTCCAGAGTGTCCCCTTTTTGGAAGTAGCCAGTTCAAGGTTTTTTAATAAGGCATGGTGAATTATCTTTTATTTATTTTTTTTTTAGGTTGTAATTTTTTTCCCACAATTCTTTTTCACAAAATTGTCATTTTTAACAAGTTATTTCTCGCATAGGCATACTTCCAATTTCACGCCCAAAGACATTCTGCTACTCCTCTCGAATATGGCAATGCCACCTGTGGTAGACTTTTTCATAGCCTAGCCACATAGAGGGTACCAAAATCTAAGAAGCATTTCAAGCATTCTAGAAGCATACAGTGCCTTGAAAAAGTATTCGTGCTCCTTGAAATTTTCCACATTTTGTTATGTTACAACCAAACACGGAAATGTATTTCATTGGGATTTTATGTGCTAGACCAACACAAAGTGGCACATAATTGTGAACTGGAAGGAAAATGATAAATGGTTTTCAAATTGTTTTACAAATAGTTATCTGAAAAGTGTGGCTTTAATTTGTATTCAGCCCCCCGAGTCCCTGAGTCAATACTTTGTAGAACCACCTTTTGCTGTAATTACAGCTGCAGGTTTTTTTGGTTCTGTCTCTACTAGCTTTGCACATCTAGAGAGTGAAATTTTTGCCCATTCTACTTTGCAAAATAGCTCAAGCTCTGTCAGATTGGTTGTAGAGTGTCTGTGAACAGCAAATTCAAAGTCTTGCTACAGATTCTCAATTTGATTTAGGTCTGGATTTTGACTGGGCCATTCTAACAGATGAATATACTTTGATCTAAACCAGTGGTCGCCAAACTGTGGCCTGGTGGTCAGATGTGGCCCTTTGCTTATCTTTATCCAGCCCTTGGGGCACTTTTTTCCCCCTCTGATAAAAGGCACTATTCTCCCCACTGACACCAACAGTGAACTTTTATTCCTCCCACTGACCACAACGATGGGGCACCATTCCTCCCACTGACACCAACATTGGGGCACTATTCCTTCTCTTAACACTAAAGATGGAGCATTGTTTACTTCCACTGGCCACAGTCCGGCCCCCCTAAAATCTGAAGGACATTACACTGGCCCTTTGGTTAGAAAGTTTGGAGACCACTGATCTAAACCATTCCATTGTAGCTCTGGCTGTATGTTTAGGGTCGGTGTCCTGCTGGAAGGTGGACCTCTACCCCCAGTCCCAAGTCTTTTGCAGACTCTTAACAGGTTTTCTTGTAAGATTGCCCTGTATTTAGCTCCATTCATCTTCCCATCAACTCTGACTGGATTTCCTGTCCCTGCTGAAGAAAAGCATTCCCACTACATGATGCTGCCACCACCATGTTTCACAGTGGGGATGGTGTGTTCCGGGTGATGTGCAGTGTTAGTTTTCCAACACACATAGCATTTTGTTTTTAGGCCAAAATGTAAAATTTTGGTCTCATCTGAGCAGAGCACCTTCTTCCACATGTTTGCTATGTCCCCCACATGGCTTCTCACAAACTGCAAATGGGACTTCTTATGGTTTTCTTTCAACAATGGCTTTCTTCTTGCCACTCTTCCATAAAGGCCAGATTTGTAGAGTGCACTACTAACAGTTGTCCTGTGTACAGATTCTCCCACCTGAGCTGTGCATCTCTGCAGATCCTCCAGAGTTACCATGGGCCTCTTGGCTGCTTCTCTGATTAATGCTCTCCTTGCCCAGCCTGTCAGTTTTTAGATGGTTGTACATGTCTTGGTAGGTTTTCAGTTGTGTCATACTCTTTCCATTTTAGGATTATGGATTGAACAGTGCTCCGTGAATGGTTCAAAGCTTGGGATATTTTTTTTATACCCTAACCCTGCTCTAAACCTCCCCACAACTTTATCCTTGACATGTATGGTGTGTTCCTTGGCCTTCATGATGCTGTTTGTTCAGTCGTGTTCTCTAACAAACATCTGAGGGCTTCACAGAACAGCTGTATTTATACTGAGATTAAATTACACACTGGTGGACTCTTGTTTACTAATTAGGTGACTTCTGAAGGCAATTGGTTCCACTAGCTTTTAGTTAGGGGTATCAGAGTAAAGGGGGCTGAATACAATTGCACCCCACACTTTTCAGATATTTATTTGTAAAAAATGTTGAAAACCATTTTATCATTTTCCCTTTCATTTCACAATTATGTGCCACTTTTTGTGTTCGTCTATCACATAAAATCCCAATAAATACATTTCTATTTTTGGTTGTAACATGACAAAATGTGGAAAATTTCAAGAGGTATGAATACTTTTCAAGGCACAGTAAATTACACATCTAGTTTTTTCTGACTACCTATCACGTTTGATTAGGAGCACCAGGACAGTGGAAACTCACAGAATGACCACATTTCAGAAAGTAAACCCCCCAACATATTTTCTAAGAGGCGTAATGAGTCTTTTGAATGTAATTTTTTTTTTTTTGGCCACAAGTCTGGAAAATGTGGAAAGACATTGAAAATGGATTTGCGAGTTTGCAATTAATAGGACATTTCTAGCATATAACATGGGCACACATAGAATTACAAACCAAAGGAATGTGGTCAGTGAGACATGCAGATATGTCAGTACAGGCAGAGTTGGGGACAGCAAATAGCCAAAGGATTGGTCCAGGCAACATGGAGGAATATGGTCGATTAACAAGCCGGGGTTAGTGGAGGCAGAGGCATATTTAGTATGCAGGCAAAGGTAAATGATGATCCACCTACTGGCTCTTGTCACAGCACCAATAATCAGGCCTCAGACTCAGACCTCTGGAATGGTCCCATAGACTGCCTCACAGCACTCCTCTGCTTTCGTACACTAACTGTACATTTTCACAGCTTTCTCTGAACGTTAGCAGCTCCCTTCTGCTCTGGCCCTCAGTCTTAGGGCTTTGGTCAGAAAAGAACTGGACACAGAAGTAGAGGCTTTTTCCCACCCAAAGCTACTCGAAGCCTCCAGACTCCAGTTCCTGATCCTGTAATCCTGGAGAAAACAAAAAGCTTAGCTTTCTCTGCTTTGAAACAATACTTTGGAGCCCCTCACTCTGCATACATGAGACCCCCTATGTTGTCTTCAATCTCTACTATGGTGGCATTGCCTCGCACTGTCACAGCAGTCAAAAGATCAGTCCAGGCAGCAGGGTAGAGGCATGGCCAAAAATGCAGGAAAATGCTTGGTCCAGGCAGCGGTTATAAACATGGTTGAGAAAATAGACAAATGGTCAGTAGACCGAGATTAGATACAGGGAAATGACAGGTAGTCGGACACATGAGAAATATCTTCACGCATGCCTTCACTTGTATGGTAGTCGGGTATGGTAGCAATGGAAGCTTTCGTACACAAAGGCCAGGTTGTGAGGGACATTAGGAACAATAGTAAAAGGGGTCATGTAGCAATCTATCACTGATGCATACATGCCATTTTTGCGGGGTTTTCAGCAGGGGGGGATAATATCAGGGAAGTGTCTCTTGTGCAGCTGGCTCAATGCATTTGAACAAAGGTGTTCAGATGCAGAGCCTTCTTGATAAATAAGGGCTTTTACAATCTCTCTTGATACTTTAGGTAGCAGCCAGGTCTTTCTGTGGACCTATAATAGATGACATAGGAGTTGTACACAACCAATTAGAACAGATAAATGGACCCTATATTTTGTAACAATGAAGGGCTCTGTTATTGGCTAGGTAAGGCTGCATCATTGTTATAATCAACACCTCCCACAAACTGACTGTAGTGATGCATGCATTCAGGTTTTTGGACCAGACCAGGCCGTTCATGGATTTCCCCTGAGGTGTCTTGGTGGATGGAAGAAAGGGCATATACATCCTGCTTATCCTTCCGTTTTAAGGGCCAATATTTCTTCATTACGCAAACTGATGGACTCCCCCTTGCACTGTGTAGCTGCAGTCAGGGCTCGGTAGAATGCTGCAGTGTGTGTTTTCACAGTAAAATCAGTTAATGGTCAGCAACTCAGAGACCAGCACAGAGTCTCCTCTTCCTCTCACACTCTCTCTGTGTGAGGAGGAGGAGAGCCAATGGCTGCAATAGGTAGACTGTGTTTTCATTTGTGTTCACTGTCTTTGTTCATGAAGGTCACATGGTACAGGGCCAATTTCACTGGCCTCCCGATCTGTGATGCCTTAGACACAGCAATCACAGATCCTGCCTGTGCATGCTCGCAAGGGCACATATGATCCCCTACAAATATGTCCTCCCAGAATGACGCTTGTCCCATCTGGCCTTTTATTGTATTTTGGCAGGAAGTGGTTAATTGCAGAGCAGCTCATTACAACAAGTAGTAAAAGAATCTCTGTACAAACGGAAAGTGTATATAAACCATAACAATGAATTCCCCTTTTCTTTTTCTTTCATTGATTTACACAGGAAGTTCACCTTTTTGAGGTGTACTGATGCCCAGGAGGATTTGACATTATCAGACAAAGAAAACTGTAGGCAAGCCCAGGATAACCCTTCTTACTACCTGTATGTTTCGGCAGCCCTAATGTACAGAATTCCCCCAATTTACACACTACTAACAGCTCCTGTGCTGTTTGCAGTTCACCTGCTGATGAAACTGATGTCTGC